AATTAAAAATTTAAAGTCTGCTTTTTAGTACAAAATTTTTGTTTTCAAAAATTTGTTACTCTAATTGTAATATACATATGTACATAAACAGTTTTATGTTCATTTTATTAATTTCTGTTTGTAACTATAATATTATAATAATAATAATAATATTCAGTATGTCTTCAGCCTAAACTTTTGCAGTGGCGTATTGGCATTTCCTTAAGTCAATAATAAAGTGCGCTCATATTTTTTTGTTACATTTARTTTTCACAAAATGATTTTGAACGASTATAAATCGTCTTATTACCCACAAGTATTCACAACTTTTATWAATGTTTTTAGATATGTATGTAGGYTTTCCCAAACARCAATATCGYCAMATACGCACAATTTCGTATYAAATAAATTTTGACAACTCGTGATATTCACCTGTTRTGCACACTTTATTTCGGGTGTGTTACGTCAAACACGTTGAACAACGATCAATCGCTAAATCGGGTAAGCAGCTTGTTAGCTTACACTTTCCATTTAGCTGATAAGCAAATCACTATCAAATTGAGATTATGTGGCTGATTTGTAAGTGTTTACTTTATCATTTCGATTGAAGCACTTATGCGCTAACGATATCAATAAATAGTCATTTATTTATATACTTATTTACCTACTACATATATATGGTTTACGCCACTTCAAGCAACAACAAATTGCTTATTTAAMAAACTTATTATTATCAGCATGAAASGGCAATTTGAGGCGTCAAGACGCCAGAAAAGTGTGCCCCTAACCTTCAAAATTTTTTTCAAGCGTCGCTTGCTTGCTTCYGCGCTCTGCGTTCTCTCGTGATCGCTTAATTGATTTCCATTTACTGTTTTATGGCCCGATAAAGTCACTCTCTTCACACATACATTTCTACATTCACACATACACAACTATGCTGTTGGAGTTGTTAAGGTGCTTCATGTGATCACGTGGTGTCGAACTTTTTGCTGCTTGMTCGCAAAACAGTTTATTTTTAATTTTCCCGTTCATTTCGAATATTTGCGGAAAATGTTTGCGTATTCATTAAGCGCTATCACTAACATTTAATTRGCGCATTTAGTTGTTAATTAATGTGTAAATATTTATTTTCATAGACAATGTTATAATCGATGTTGTTATTGTGTCATGTTGGCAATGAAATTTTTTGAAATTGTTTGTGTTCATTTTTGAGTTTGTGGAAACATTCCGACCCATTACTTCGCCACTCCAATTGTAATTAGATAATTAATTTATTGTTATTATTGTTCTTATGCTTTTCATGTTCTTATGTGCAAAGGTGTTATTGTTTTAATATGTTTGAACAGCGATAACGCGCCTCACCATACAATATGTACATTGTACCACAATTTTTTCTGTGTTAATAGCTTATTTTCCACTTGTTTGCTTWTCTAATGATACAATTTAATATACCGTAGAGTGTTTATTTGAGATTGAGAAAAATAGTATTTGTTAATTATTCTCGATGTGTTCTTAGCCTCAAGTTTCAAAGTATGCTATGTATGCGAGGGTTGTCATAAGTCCTAATGAGTCCAAGTGTTTAAGCGCTCAGAAATACATAGATATCAGGCTTCAAAGCAGGATTGTAGAATAAAAAAGGATATCCTTACAGGATTTCACACTTGTGAATTTCAAAAAATTTATTTTTTGTTGTATATTTATTTATTGATATATGTACAGGGAATATAAAGGGTGATCCATTTCGAGGTTCCCTACTGTTCTAAAGAAAAAACACAGAAAATTTAAATTTTAATGGGGAATGTTTTTTAGCATTCCCAAAACGTTCTCTCAATAAATCCATTGACGGTTACGTTCTTACCGATGATTCCAAGGGCCCACAAACCACAACAAACCGTTATTTATTCTGAATAAAATGGCAGCTCTAGAATCTCTTGAGGTTGCCCTTCATCCCAAATGCGGTAATTTTGCTTGATTGCATACCCGTTGAGCTAGAAATGAGCCTCGTCGATGAAAATAAAATTGGCTCGAAAACGTYAGATCTCTTAGGAGTTTTTCAAGAGCTAATGTCACTTGGAAAGGTAGAGCGGCTTCAGTTCATGCACAAGTTGTATTTTGTACGTTTTCCGTTCAAGATCTCGATGTAAAATGACGTATAGAACGACTTGGCTATACATCAGTCTGAGTCTCTCCACGGTCATCGTGTACACTCTGAGCTACGGCTGCTATATTCTCTTTTTTAGTCAGGACATTACGTTGATCCTTTCTGATGCAAACTCCTCCTTAGCTGGTGTGGCCGTGTATTTTGGATCGTTATCCTGCTCAAACGTCTTTTTTGTAGGCATCTCCCAGCTGAAAAATAGTAATTGTGTATATACATATGTGTGTATGATAACATATCGAAGGATGTTACACTGCACGGTCCATGAGGTCATTGATCAAATGCGTAGGACCGGCACCACAACGAACATACTTWTTGTATCCTATTCCCTGAAAGAAGCAATTTTGCTTTCTTTGATCCACATTACATTCCACCATTTTGTAGATGGCCAATTGAAAC